TAGAGAAACCTATTTGCTTATTTACATTAATGGATACGTATAATTAAATCAGAATACAAGAACATGAGGAAAAAAGTTTAATTAGATGTTAGTCGTGGGACGCGGTTTTATAAAATAATCGGACAAATAAAACTGTTTTTAATTTATTTAAATTCGAATTTGTTCGAATTTGTTCTCATCGAAGGGTAGATATATATTTGTAAGTTTTTGTAATATTCTATAAACAGGTGAAGTTGGAGAGCTCATCAGTCAAGGAAGGAATGGAGCCAGGTCCCACGGTCTGTGAAAATCCATGCATCAATCTTTGAATGACGAATGTTTCAGTAAGTATAACATGAAAGTGAACAAACTACGTTATTTAAGATAAACGATCGCCAGGAACACAGATATTGTACCGGCTTTAGATCGCAACAAAAGATTCAAATGTTTTGAACAATTCAATACAATACTTTATATAAACATAATTCTTACGTCTCATAATATTCTAGTTGCATTTTTCTATCCGATCCATCGTTAAGTCTCGCGGACTGCGTCATTTCAATCGCTCAAGTTATTCATCTTCGTATCTTATGCTCCAATTTCGCTTTTACAACGCTCTTTTCAATTTATAACTTTTACGATTCATAGTTTCTGAATATTGCCGACTACCAGCTAGCTATAAATCACTCAGTTAACTGATATGACGCTCTATAGGTTTAGTTATATTAAACATTCAAGCTAGTGTAGGTTTAAACTTTAAAGGTTTATATATATGAATTAGATCTATTATAGTAAGTGTTAGTCGCCTGTTTTCTTTTTTCAGTGTCATGAGGTGTTTTATTTAATAAATATATAAAAGGGTCCAATTTAATTCCAAGAGAACGCTCCCGGCGACTGAAGCTTTTCTTTCACAAAATCTAATTTATATGAAAGCTAAGTGCAAATTGGCTTCACAATAATGAAACATAAAACTATTCCCTCCTACTTGATCGTTGTGTTGACTTAGAAACGAAGTTTGAGGAAACTTTTAATAGTCTGTAATGACGACAGACTGGACGATAACATTTCCTCCACACTGGAGCTGTGACTTATATGTAAAGAACAATTATAATTTTATACCATGTGATAGCACGTTTAATCATGAGGTTTTTTCTCCAAGTTGTAACACAATAAGCATTGCCATTTACAAATTTCCGATAACGAGCCTTAAGCCAGGCCTTGTGAGCCGTGTTAAAAAGAAAACTTCATACAAGTTAGAGCTCTCCTCGTGATAAAAGCTGAACCCTGTCATATATTTATAGCACATAGGGGAAAATATTGATTAAAATGTTACTCCTTTGAATGTTCAATACGGACCTATGCATCTATTTTTTTTTTTATAGCTATTTGATGTTATTAAAGAACAGAATATATAAATGTTTCAATAAATTTATTATTAGAAATTAATTTCATACCTGTATATATAACTGTTATATTTTCTACAAAAAACACACGTAAATACAAAATAGTAAAACCGATTGTGAGAGATCTCTGCTTTTATTAAAATTTGCCTGGATTATTATTGGATCAACCTCGTTGTATGTGAAACATAATCAGTTCTAATAACTATGTTCATAATTAGGATGTTCATTATAGCCGAAAGTAGATACTTATCGGTACATAGCCATTTCATGTGTGAATATTTTTTGGGCTTTTTCAGAACTTCAAACGTTTTAACCCATCGTATACAGAACTTCAAAAACCTTTAGCCTAACTCTCTTTAAACTACAGTTAAAGATAAAAATTGAAAAGCACAAAAACAGAATGGAAGTAACACAATTTCATTACCCGAACAAACATTATTAATTAACAGTTTACAGGTTTTCAAAACAAAAGCCTTATTTCATTTCGTTTATGTTTATTTGTAGGTTTTCCGGTGATTGAAACATTTCAATAACAATCAAAATATATTTTAAGGAAATAAAAATTGGCAGAAAAGTTATTTGTTTTGTACTAGAAGGTGGCGTCAGATTTACTTGTTTATGTTTTATTTATATTAATAATGGTTTTTGTTTAATTCTCTTGTCTTTATGTCTCCAGGTGGACATATTTTGTAAATGTTTCACATTTTTAGTTATGGGTTTTAGAATATTTTTTCTTTTTTTAGTAAAAGTGTTTTATCTGATTGATTTTATGTGTTATAAAAAATAATTACCTAGTGATTTTTCATTATAAAACAATAAATATTCTTGTCAATATCTGTTGTTAATAGTTATGAATTCAATCATCACATTCAAATGTACATCAGTTATTTCAAAAATAATTAAAATACGAGCGTTCCTCCATACCCTGCTATTACCATTTATTATTATCGTCATGTATACAAGAAATATTTTTCACAATTACATCAAACACAACGTTTGAGATAGAAATAACAATTTGTGTACAATCGATAAACTAGATCATGTTAAAAGCAGTTTAAATCAACACTAAATAATTTTCAAAGGTGTTTTAGGTTTTACAAAACCTGTGATGAAACAAAGCAGTTCGTAAACTTACAGAGGTTCCTTCTACTGAATATTCATATTATATACATAAATTTCAATTATAGTATTCTAAAAGTATTTCTGGTTATTTGAGTTTATGTTCTTAAAGTGGAACTTTTATTACACGGTCCCATTTTACATCCCTCGTCTATATATCGCATGTCGCATTACAGTCAACAGCAGAGCCTACAACGTAAGAATGAAAGCCACAGTACTTCTGGTTGTCTTGTGATAAAAACTGAATTCAGGAATTTAAGTCTGCAATTCTTGCATACACTCTCACAAATTTATGCTTTAAAACACTAAGAGGCTTCAGCCTATTGGCTGTTTGAATTAGTTTTAATCATGTTGTGATAACCAATAAGTCTATTCTCACTTTTTCCTTCGGAGTCCAAAGCAGGTACATTTAGTAGCGCCCAGCCTGACCAGATGTGACAGATGAGACAAAAAATACGTTCTGTATAGTACTCGACTCTAATTTTAAGGCAACTATTTAAAACCTATACGTTCTCAAGGTTATATGAGACAATCTACTGGAAGCCGACAAGTCGAACCTACTCTTTCGTGTGACAACTACACCGCCGGGGATATGCTCTAGTCATATAACAAAGTTTTAATTACGAATATAGATCTTGTTTATTATTGAAATCACCCAAATAAATAACACTAATAAACTGTATATTTTTATATTTTCATTACTTCTTTTCAGTGTTACAAACAATAGAGTCAGAATTTTCATTAACAGATTCTAGTAAGTGTACGTATTTAAATTGACAAAGCGTATGGAATGCGAGTTTTTCAGAAGACATTTTTATGAAATTTTCACAGTATTGATGAATTTCTCATGTTTATTATTTTTAATAACATTTCATTGGAATATTTTTTGTGTAACTACGATGTATATGTAACAAATACAGATCTGAAATAAACAAATATTAAGTTTCACATTCCTCGAGCATTTACTTATTCATATTATTAGCAGTTCTAATTGTAGAAATAAATTATTCTTTAAAATATTTTAGATAACTTGAATGGAACAATTTCATTGTATTAAAATCGATCATGAGAACGTTGTCATACATCAATCGTATAGATTCAGGATTTTATGTTTGAGATACTCACTAGACTGAGTCGAGACAACATAATACACTATTGAAAATCTCCAACTTTGAAGTTAGTTAGCTGCCATAAGGTCAACGACCTTTACAGAAAAAACTCAGTCCACTTAATTGTACTACAGATATTGGACAACTAAGTTGAGATTAAAGAAAACTACTATACGTTTTAAAAATCTTGCCTTTTATATTGTTTTACCAAACAGGCTTATATTTTTTTATTTTCTTTCACAGTCGATTGATCTGTTTTCTAACGGCCACACTTCAACATTTATCAATTTCTTCAATACACGGTATACAATTCCCTCGGCGATTTAAGCACATGTATTGAATTATATATAATTCTATTTCATTTTAAATGATAATTTTAGTTTTCATTCGTATAAGAATACAAACAATTTTTTTCTGATTACCATCTCGTATTCTATTATTCTAAATGGCAGTCGACGTTTAGACTATCTGCAGTAACCGTGATCAGCAGACGAGATTAGAGTGTCGAGGAAAAATATAAAATAAAATGACGAAATTCACAGTTTACATTTAAACAGTCTAAGACATTATTATTATTAAATTTTAATAACAACCCTATCTTTTTTATTTTCCCTATCATTTCATTATCAAATGTATTTCTACTTCAATTGCCGAGGATTAAGCGAAAATATTCTGTACATCTTTTCTTACCTTTACGTATTAAAAGATCTATATTAAAAATACTATTTTTTTATGCTTGAACTTAATATTTTGTGTAGTTTTATTTAAATTATTTCACTAAAGCTCCTCAAAGCCCCTTTGTTTGCGATACAAATTGAACAAATCCAAAATTCTAGTTGATACAAAATTTAAACGAAACACAACGGAAGCAAAAACAGAAATAGAAATAGTGTTTTGTACGTTTAAAGTCTTGTTAGTTTGTTTATATAGGAACGATGTTCGATAAATAACTATGATAAAAAGTTACTTATGAGGTTGAAGTGGTCAATGGTCAGTGGTGACCTTCAAAAGACACACAAAAAAGTATTTTTAACAGTAATTGTGCTTTTTTATTATCAAAAACATAATTAACAGTTTATAAATATCATTCGTTTAAGTCACTTTATTATGATTTTCAATAAAAAGGCAAATTAAATAAGACATCAAAAAATAAAATAATTAAAGTCATCACAGTGAACGTTTTTTCAAGATTAAGTATTAAAATATCATAACCGACATCAAAGCTTGAATAAAAAATTGTTTATCGAAAGAAACGTTCGATAGAAAACTAATTTTAATAAATTTTTAATATAAATCGTACCTTGACCTGTACAATAACCGTTTGTAATTCGGAGATGATATTACTTATAAATATCATATTAAATATGTTCTATATAACATGTGTATATTGTCAAAACAGTCGGTCGTAATGTTTAATGTGACATCCCTCAGCGAGTTTGTCCGCGATACACATTGAAGGAGACGAGATAAAAGGGTTCGGCCCGATACTAGAGATACGAAGGGTCATCACGGAATGTACAGTGAGGCTGAAGAGAACATAAAGAGAACTATTACTTTAACTAATGAAATATCTTTAACTCAGCGGTTACAGACAGCTTCAACTTAGATTAAAAACGAACCTATTAATATTAACTACATTATAAGTATCATAACGTCCCCCCCTCCCCCCACCAGCTGTCCACCGCCCCGGCTCGCGTCACTCTCAGCCCTCCATGTTTTTTTTTTTTTTTTTTTTTTTTTTTTTTTTTTTTTTTTTTTTTTTTTGGTGTCGGGTTGGAAAATCCTGTCAGACTCCTACTGACTAAAAACAGCCCCCCATGTTACAAATACTAAACTTTACTAATTTGATCTCGATATGAAATATTTTTATAAAGGTCGACTCAAATTTGTCAATTAATTATTATCAAACTAATTTTGATTTATTATAAGCCAAGAGGGACTAATTTCTCTGATTATATTACTGAAAGCACAAAAACCCAATCTAATCAAATTATTTATAACATTACATTGTCTAGTCGTCTTAATCGAATCTAAACGTAAGATATCGTTAGTGGTAAGTAATTTATCATCACCAATGTCATGATATACAAAATACAGTAAAATATAAGTTTATCAAACTGATCTAAAGGCTCACTGTAAATTCGCATCGACACCCTTCATACGAAATAATAACTAACTGCGAAGATTAACGAACAAAAAACTATTAACGCAGTGTGTGTAGTAACACTCCGTGACGATACCAACTTGTATTAAGGATTTTGGTTTTAAAATCAATATGTTAATATATAATTTCCCGTTATGTTTAAATATATCTATTATATTATGTAACATAAATATTTTAAACAATGCTCATGTATTCCTATTTGTAATAATATTATATATTGAGGTTTATTTAAACACAAGCAACAATTTCATTGGGATGGATTTATACCCGTTCTCTGTTCTCTAACACACGCCGAGCTTACGTTTAACGAACCGATTTTAAACTTCATAGTTAATTATTATTGGTTTATTTCAGAAAACATAAATTTTCATAATGTTTAATTTTACGCAATAAAACATTTTTCTCATCTCTAATAACTAAAAAAATATTATTTGACATCAGTTTTTCATTTTTTTTTTAATTTTCCTATGATAACTAGTTACAGCCCGCTTATTTTCTCGCTTTTGATAGTATTTCAGGTTCTGTTTTATATTAAAAATAGACTTTAATAATATGTGTACTTCATACTTTTATCTAACATATGCAACAGTCTTTGCTGATATATTTTGAAGGAAAATTTGATTTTCTATGTGTCTAATACAGCTTGCTAAATGTTTAATAGTTATATAATGTGTAAAGTGGAATAGCATTTAATGTATTAACAAATATATAATTTTATTTATTCTATTATTAATACTTATAAATTTATAAAATTATTTTAGAAAATATAATAGTCGTTGCTCTACTGCTTCTTTAAATGTTTATAAAATTATTGCTTTGAAATAATCACACTGATTTTACATTTATTAATACGTACCTAAATATAGTTATTATTGATATATATCTATCTATATATATATATATATATATATCTAAGGAATATATTATTGTATACGTCATACATTAACCCGAGGTGTCAGTCAGTAACGTAACCCACCAGGAAACTGACAATACTTAATCTTCAATGGACATCAAAGTTTTACGATCAGGAAAAATATTATCAATTTAGTTATTCATATGAACGGCCCTCGGTTCGGAAATGGGCGGGTTTCAATAAAAACGCTCCTTGCGAAGATAAAAACTTCTACCATGTAACAATATTTGTCTAGACGAGCGTCGCTTCCGACTCTTATCGACGGATTTTGACTCCTCCGACTGTAATAAAGTATATCTGACATACATTTATATTTATTACGTATGTATATAATAAAAAAAAATTGTTAAACACATTAAAATTATTTGATAACTAAAAGATTATCATATATAATATATTAAAAAAATTAATATTGTTTCTTTTATTCAAACTGCTGATGTCTGTCCAAGTTTATATTTATCGTCTCAGACTTATTCCGTATTTGTAACATTATTATTTTAAACCCCATGTGTAAATTCTTTATCATCATTCCACCTATTGGGATACTAAGCCGTAGGTCGTAATTGTACTATCACAGTAAAACTCTATTCACTTTATCCTTGAAGTCTTTCAAGTTGTAAGATGAAGTAAGTTCAAAGACAAATTCATATTCTAAAAACAGTTAGTTCTTAGTATTTAACTATTAATATGGATACATCTCATTTGTATTATGCGACTATTGTCGTCAAGGAAATAATTTGATCAAGAAAAAAGAAAACAGCACAGCTCTCGTTTGACGTACAGACAAATGTCCCATCCTATTTAGCCAGAAGATGGAGTGGTGTGATATAAGTTCTCCCGGACCGTCTAGGCTCCGCATCCGGAAATTAGAAGCCTTTAATTAAATGGTCCTCTAGGTAAAAGGCTGTCTTTTTGGAACTAATATAGGAGCAGCGAGGTTTCGCAAAGATTCGCTGAAATCTTGTTTTTTTTTATTTTGACCATATTCGGCAACAAACCGAGGGTAAAAATTTGAAGTGAGTAATTCACGTGTTTGGAAAATAAAGTGCTTTAGATAAAATGCCTTAAAAGCTTCCAATAAACATAATACATCAAAAGTATCTCTATCCAGCTCTGTGGTCAGTAGAAGATATAGACAATTTGCTATCGCTACTCACCTACCAGCCAATTCATATGACAACAACCGGTCTTGATTGTGTGATTTGTAACTTATTAAATAATTTAACTGACCGTATGATATGAAGCACAGCGCTATCAGTAGAGAGTGCGCCGCGGCGGCGCGCTCGCGAGGCATCGCTCGCCCGACTAGCGCCGCGCCGACACACACATCACACACGGTACACCTGGAACAACAACAACAACAACAACATTAATACAACAACAGTACAACAACACGATGACAACAGACCTTCCACATACATATAAAATACATAACTATTATAAGATCCTCGGTCGAAGATGAGAAACTATTACTGAATATATTTACCAACAGTAATTGACAACTCGGAATACAAATCCCACTTATCACTGAAAATATTTGTTCTTAAACTTTAAGTTCATTCTTTGTTTTTAGCGGGTTGTAGGAGGTGTAAGTGAGACTATTATTTGTAGACTGTTTTGTTTCATAAGTAAAACAGTTTCTTCAGAGCCGATTAATATGAATGTAATCTATTGAAGAGTCCTCTTTTAATAGAACGTTTATTTCGTGAAGCAGCTGATAGTATTAATTAACCTGAACACTTCTGCCAGTCGACAAACTAAAAAGACAACTTTTTCAACAATAGTCGCCCGTTCTATGAACCGGAGTTGACTCCATAATGAAATTCCAGGGCAGAATCGTTGAAGCTGGCCTCCTCCTCCCTCCCCACTACCCCCTCCAGACACACCTGACCCCTCCACTAACCGCTGCAGCGCCCCCTCGATAATTCATATCATAAGTTACTTGTACAAGGAACTAACTACCCGTGTGTCTCTGATACAGTTGAGAAGGATCCGTCACAGTTCACACACGACCCTCTACATGTTGTTTATGTAATTATAATTTATAATCAGAATCTCTTTAATGACCGCGGTATGGTTATACACTTACATTAAATGGTTCACTCATCAAGTAACTCTAAAAATAAAGTCTTCAACAGCATTACGTTGTACGACCATCTGTTGTTTATATTATTATTTGTATTGCTTATTATTATACACTTATTCATGACAGAACAACTTAATCGTAATACTATAACAAACTTAGTGACCAGAATGTCAAGTTTAAACCATCTTTTTTATTTAAATAAATGGCATTATATATTTATTGGTCAATAAAATACATTTTCTTAATTTTACAGACAGTCAAGTCGTACAGACTAGATGACAGAATGCAACGGGTTCGTTAAAATAAATTCTCACGTCGACTTAAAAGACGAAACAGCCGACTCGGGCGAGAGGACTGAGAGGAGAAAGACAGAACAGCGCCGGGGGTTGTCGACCAAACAACGAATGGTTGTACTTGTGCTCCCATTCTCTGAATATCTAACTATTGTTTACTAACGAAAGATTAAAAACTTTACTCCCCGACAACGAAATTGTTTAATGAAAGCGTCGTTTGCTCGACGAAAGTGGGTCGACGGACGGTTGTCAAAATAACGGAGCAGAGACTGAATACCGCCACGAGAATAAATAAAAAACTGAAACGATGACGCGCTTCATAGAACTAGAAGGAACGATACTATATTAAACTAGGTACTCTCAATAGTTTTCATATAATACTTTAATTTAAGGTTTTTATACTGTCCTCGAAATAAACGAAAAATAATTCAAAACGTCTAGATTAAATTATGTTATGTTGAGTCAACCTTAACACGCTTGCAGTGATATGGACTACAATAAATACTAATTGAAGCAAATAACTGTTATGATAGAATAGATAATAAACCACATTAACAATAAAGCTTATATTAATTTGGACATATTGTGAATGTTCTATGTGAAAATAAATTTAAATTTATTTCAAATGTGTAAATTATAACTTTGGAAAACGAAGCACGCAACAGACCACAACCATGAGTGACAGATTAATATTTTAGGCGTTAATAATAACGCGAATTATAAGTATTTTACGAACACATGTTAACATCGTTTGTCATGCATTCTGTAATTGCGGTTAATATTTTAAATACCTTTAATATAATGTAACGTAAATAATTATCATTACTGGATCATTTTAATTATTTGATAGTTTCAGTGACACAGAACGTATCGTATCATTGTACATCGCAAGGAATCACGAATCTAAAATGTAAATGTAATGTTTATATTATGAACGGGACGGAACATACTCGCACTATTAGCCCCACAGTTATCCCATTGTTCCGTTGTAACATGAACACGTAACGTTACTAATAACATGCCGAGACATGCTTGAAATTACTAAAGAAACTCAATTCCCTCAGGTTTCACAGACGTAGAACTTAAGATTTGCTAGGATAAAATCACCCGAGCCAGATGTAATTCCATTACAAAATATTGGGAAAATAACTTGATCACGAGCGTCCCCCGTGGCTTACATCTGGACGATAAAGAATGGCAGCTGATTACAGAAAAAAATGTTTACACAACATTATATAGTAGAAGACATTAAATATAACAATAAGTATATATAAAACAAACAGTGATTTGTTACCCTTATTAGCAGAACAATAATAATCTCAAGTTTAACGACGGAGATATTGTTATCGAGTTTTTCGTACTTTTGTAACAAACCGTTGCAACACATTCGGTCACTGAAATAAAAAGTAATTTACATTTTTATTTGCTTATCAAGTTAATGACTATTTGTTCGGAGCTCGTGTTCAAACTTTCACGATAAGTTTGAAAGTTATTGTAGACGAAATATACGGCTATGAGAGAAGCCATTGACGAAATTATTTTTGACTCTCTGTTCAAAAAAAAATGCTAGAGTTGTGTGATTCCTCAGCAACATGTTATTTACTGTTTGTTTTTTGAATTTTGAAACCTCAACCTATCCCCTGTGACCTTCTCATGCTCAATACAAAGGGTCAAAAGTTGAGGAAGTACTCAAATATGTAATATATGTATAATTCATCAAAAATAGTCCTGATATCTGAACGATGATATTAAATTTAACATTAATTATATGAATGTTTTCCGCCTCGCTGTGAGAAGCTTGGCGGAATATTGTATTTAATATATATATAGATGGAATGGAATCTGAAATAACATTTAGCCATGTATGAATGTAAGTGTAAACCGCGGGAACAGGAATATAATTCAACATCAATAACCTAGTCGAATACGTCTCGTATAGTAAATCAAAGGATTTATAATACATATAGTAATGGAATGTAGTAAAGTCAAATTAAAATTTAAGTTATCTTTTAGGCTAATTTACGTTTAGGCTGATAACTCTCGGATTACAAACGCGTGAAAGAAAACTATTGTAAATAGATTTTTAAAAACCGCTCAGAAGGTTAGTAATATGCAAGAAGTTTATAAGCTTCAGTCATACTTGTCAATAAACTGTTTAATGTAAAGATTCATAATTTACTTCATTATTTTATTCAAGCCCCGATTAATAATCATTTAAGTAGAATATATGCGCGCATGAACCAGATAATCTAGTAATCATATAATGAAAGTTATGTTACACAGCTGGACGGATAGTAACCAAACATAGAGAACAAGTAATAATCTGTCGATTTGTTAAAAAGAAAGGATGTCACAGACAGACACACTCATTGATATCTAACTTATAACACCACATACACACTTTTGGCGTGTAGTTTTGAATAGAAAAATGTGTATTTCCTTTAACCTTTCTATATATATTCGTCGCCGGGCAACCCTAAGTCCATGTACTCACAAAACGTTTGAGGAGTCGTGAGTTTGTTCCGGTCTCTAATGGAGGGAAGGTCGAGGAAGATGCTTCAGTCGGTCACTGGAGCAGACAGCTCGAGTCGAGCCTCGGTAGGACAGGGAGCCTATAGAGGAGCTCGGAACTTTGCCTTTTACAAACAATTCCCTTTATTTTAATGGTTTACAAAGTTCCCCAACTTAATAGAAACTCCCAAAATAAACTTTCCTGAATCCCGTTTGTCGAACGATCACTGTTATGAATTTTGAATCTTTTTACTCCGGAAAATATAAACGAATCGTTGGCACAAACTTTGTAAATCAACGGAGAAATACTTTTAATACTTTTAGTTGCTTTAATTTCAATGTTTGTTTTAAAACATTTTACTGGCATTCGATATTAAAAATTAAACCATGACTTTTTCATTTATTGTTTGAAATAATTTAAATTGTTTAAAAAAATGTCCATGTCACTTCGACTGATAGAATCTTTAGTTTAGAGTAATTGAAATATCTTATTATATTAAATTATTACTCAATACATGTTTTAAATAAGAACATTAAAAATTATATCTGAAAACTAAAGCTACATCACGTAAATCAGTTGAGAACAAGCGAATATTTTACACGAATTATTTCTTTTCTTTGTAAGTAGAATGAAGATATTATATATACATATTATGTTATTTAATTTTACACTGAAATATATTTATGTAACTATTATATCAAATATATTAGCGACCAGCTGTTCATAATTTCATAGGATTCCTGAAGAGTCTGTATATTTAGTATTATAATATTCTATGAGTTTACATCTAAGTCATTACGTCACTGATTTATAAAAAAGCTGGATATATTCTATTATTTCCTTGATAAAGAATGATGTTAATATACAGGGTGACTGGTGAATTACTATCAATATTTAAGGAGGATACTCGGTACATGATTCTCATTCGAATTATGTATAAAAAATAGGTACTTAATTTTTGACAAAATTTCCGTATAAATAAATAAAGTGTTGACACGTTCCAAGTGTTCCAAGCGTGGACGTGTGCGGCGGCGTGCTGATACAACACTACGCCGCCGCCGCGTCTGTGTGAGTGTATGTGTATACCTAATCTGTAGGGTGTTCATACGATGCGTAATTAATTACATAACTTTTGGTTAACTTTACTTAGAAGTTTATTAATATTTATGTTATATTAATTTTTATTTTGTCATATATGATCGTCACAAATCACGTCCTCAAATATCGATAGTAATTCACCAGTCACCCTGTATATACATTTTTACTATTTTTATTGTGTTTTTTCCTTAGTTTTTTACTCTTTAGCAACACCAACTATAATTTTTTTTTCACCATTCCACAAATAGATTTATAATTTTTTATTCATAACTTGTAATTCTGTCTTATTAATAATCTTTTCATTACAGTGTTCACCAGATTTTTTTCTCAGTAACATTAAAAATGTAATTTATTTTTAATCACGTTAACTATTGAATGTCCAGCCTAATTCTTTCATCTCCTCATTTTTTCCGGAAATCTTTTTAAATGCGACATAACAATAATACGTTCGTTATGTTTACTCAATACTTTTATTTTTCTATTTATTAAAAGAAGGGACTTCATAATATATATTTAATGTCTGTTCTGATAGTAACCGCCACCGCTCAAAAGACGAAAGTAAACTTGCTTTATATGGAGGTGGGCTCTTGATGCGGTTGGCTTGACTCGTTCGTAAAGGAAGCGTGCATTTATTTAGTAAGAGAGGGTTTTTCTTTAACGATGTGTAATTAAAACATAAAGAGGATATCCTGTGTGGTGTTAGTACACCGCACGAAAACTACTTTTAAGGTACATTAATATTTGAAACCTGTTCGGTACCTTTTTCTATGACATATTGCGAACTTTGATTTTACATCAAGTTAAATATTGAAGTACCTGCTGCTGAAACCTTAACTTAATATGAACAATGAATTTTAATGAAATATACATTTTTATTTTCACTTTTAAGTATTTTTTACTTTTACATACGTACCTACATATT